TTTTTTGAAGACGACTTTTTATCAGCTCGAAATCTGGGTCCAAATGAGTAGACATGTCCAAGGGAACATGCATAGCTCTCCAAATGAAGGTGACCGGAAACAGTCAAATAAGTTTGACGACTGAATAAATCTTCATTGAAGTTAACTCCATAACCCTTTACTGCAGTTCCTGGTTTTGACTTTTCTCTTGCTTCTAGCTGTTGAGCTAGTTCATTTGTTTTCCTTGGATCCTTAACTGCAATAGCCAGTGCTTCCTGATTGCTTTCACTTCTCTTGAGTTGTTCAACAAGATCAGTTTTCTCCTTAATAGCAACCTTAACAGTTTCAAGGCTAATACCTTGAGTTTCATTACCAGCATTAGGCTCCTCCTTGATTGTCCTTTGAAAAAGGGTTGTAACCTGGAACTTGTTACTAAATCCTTCACAGTCTGTGATTGTGATAATGGGTGCTTCCACATGCAAAAACCCATGGCTCTGGAAGAACGTATGAGTTGCCAAAGTCAAGGCACAACGTATTCGGGTAATTGATGCCACCTGCGGAATATAACATGTCAATTAAAGAGTATATTAGGTTCAACTACACGTTGATGAAGTTTTAGATGCAATGAGAGCGGCTTATAAGGAAGTACAGTAGCCGCAACAAGTAAGTTACATGAGTTTCAAGGAACAAAAATAATAAAGCTAGTCAATTCCTAAGATCATCCCCAGGATCTATTGTTACTTAACCATTTTGCCCATAAAACACATTAGATTGTTCAGAAATGTTATTTCAGACAAGTAGATCCTGTAGCTGTTTGAAATATATTGATGCAGCACATAATCAGAGTAATTAGATTGTTTCCGCTAAATTGCTTAATGTGATTAAACTTTTCTTCAATTATAAAACCTGCCCCAAATTCTGTGCTTACACATAATCAAAACCAAAAGACTAGACATCTAAAGACTAAAATATTAGGTCACCACATCTCATACAATACAAAAACAGAAAAGGTTATAACTTCTAAGATATCAAAGGATTCTGAAATTACCGTTGTTGTCCGAGGTCGAAAATGGGAGCAGTCCCTTAACGAATCGAGTGGTAATCGTTTTTCAGACAACGGATAACTATTCTGTACAGTCCCAACATGAAGAATTTTCTCAACAGTAAGCTCAATTGCTTGTTTTTCCTTTGCAGAAGGTTTTTGTTGATCACCTTCTGCAGAAAATTCTTGTAGAACACCTTCTGCTAATATGCATGTTCCAGTTGGCAGAAGCTGGCTGACAGAAACACGAGCAATAGCAGAATGTACCACAACCTAAGAAATTTTGACAACAATAAGAAAGGTGACAAATTTGAAGTGCTCAAAACAAACCTTGTTAACCACTTCTCTTCCAATGATAACCAAAATACTTGAAATCAATTTATTGTCTTTCAGGCATTTTAACAAACAGTTTATAAATTATGAAAATGGGATAAACACGTTGAAGATTTGGGCATACCTGAAGGCTTGTAGCGCAAGAACCATCATTAATTTGCAAAAACAAAATCGAATAAGGCTGCTCCAGTTTTTCACGTACAGCAGGTTCGCTGGCGGAACCGGCGAGAAACTTGATGATAGTCCCAAAAAACGGAATTCGAGATTGCAAACTCTCCGCACAGCTCACGTCTTTAGGACTAGCCGCTGCCGGCTCTTTCTTCTCCACCTTAGAAGATCTCACCCATCCTCCAATCACCACTCTCTGACCAACCAA